GCTCACCTCTGCACCCCCTGTCCACATCTGGACATTTAAAAAATAAGACCTACCCCGGAAATAAGACTTATGCAGGCCATAGATGGGGAGAAAAACGGCAGATTTTCGGATGCCGATTAACGAACTATCGGTCGGTCTAGAAAAAACTTACCTGACCACCAATTATTACGAAAATCGGCCGATTAATGAGTAACCTATAACGGGAAATGATGTCATTTTGTGGCCTTTGTGATCCTTTTTCGGAAAACGATCGTTCGTTTTTGACCATCAATGAGGATAAAGTCGGGCGTTTTTCGAAAATTTTCCAACATCACCGATAATCTGAAAGTCCAAAATACACGAAAAAACGGCCGACAAAATCGTCCCTGACTAACGATAAGATAATCGCCGGTTTTATTTTCGGACGAAAAATCGGCCTCACCTTTTTCCCCCCATCTATGGCCTGCATTAGTGTGTTTTTTTGAGCCAAAAAAAAATGTAAGACAGTGTCTTATTTTCAGGGAAACACGGTATATAAGTATGTGCCTGCATGCAAAATAAAGTGTATGTTAGTGTATGTAATCCCAAAAGCAGAAAATTATATATATTGCAGGCTACCAGTCCTTAGATGAGGTGGCTGTATTAGTTTTCTTTTTTTAGGCTTCTTTTCCTATATTGTTCATCTGGTGATCTGTTATTTTTCAACTTCCTTTTAAGAGACAAATCTGTCCTGCAGATGTAGCAGTTAGAGGATTGAGACAATTCATTTACCACTGAAAGCTTACAATGATCAGCTTTTGTTCACTTGTGTAAAACCTTCATCCCAAAAGGAGAAAAACAGTTGCTGTAACTGCTGTTGGCTGAAGCTGGGATTTAATTTTTAGCCAAGTCCATCTAAATAGACTACTCCATCTAACACTACCCTATCCTGTATACTGTATACTGTATACTGTTGTCCACTGATGCATCTATTGGTCTTTCATAGATAGAGGAGACACCCTATGGTGTGGAAAATGGTAGTGACAAAAATAAGCACACACACACTGAGCAGGATGGACCAGTGTCTTTCTTCAACCCTACCAACTATAGGGTTTATAAAACTGGAATGCAAACTCTAGTGCAGCTGTGCATGGTGGTCAATCAGCTTCTAACTTCAGCTTGTTCAATTAAGCTTTGACAAAGAAAACTAGAAGCTGATTGATTTCTATGCACAGCTGCACCAATTTTAGTAAATCAGCCCCTATGTAACCCTATGACAGGATATATGTTATTGGATCACCGGTGAAAATAAAGGGAATAAAAGCCCAAAAAAAGAAAACAACTGCAACCACCACATCTAAGGATTTGTAAGCTGCAATATATGAAATTGCTGCTTTTGGGTTTATAAACGCGTTAACCACTTGCCCTCCTGAGGATTCACCCCCCTTCCTGACCAGGCCATTTTTTGCGTTATAGCGCTGCTTTACTTTAACTGATGACTGCGTGGTCATGGAAAGCTGCACCCAAATTAAATGTATACCCTTTTTTCCCATGAGCTTTCTTTCAGTGGTATTTGATCACCTGTGTGTTTTTTTATTTTTTGAGCTATGAAAAAAAAATGCCTGCAATTTTGAGAATAAAAACAATATTTTTGACTTTTTGCTATTAAACATGTCCAGTAAAAAAATGAAAAATATCAAATTTCATCATAAATTTAGGACAAAATGTATACTTTTACATGTCTTTGCTAAAAAAAAATCCCAATACGTGTAAATTAATTGGTTTATGTGAAAATTATAGCGTTTACAAATGGCGGTATACTGGAATTTTTTTTTTCTACTATAATGGTGCTGATCAGCAACTTATAGCGGGACTGCAGGACTGCGGCAGGACTTCTGACACTGGGGGGAACTGACTTGGCATCACTGACATCCCCACTGACATTAACAGAGTGATCAGTGCTAAAAAAAAGCACTGACACTGTACTAATAGCAGTTGGCAGGAAGGGGTTAACATGAGGGGCGATCAAAGGGTTAACTGTGTGCTGGGAGTGTTTTACTACGGGGCCGTATCAGTGTGTTTTAACTGTAAGCTCACTGCTTTGGATGGCTGTGCTGTGCAATTCGAAAACATTTCGTCCAAATTCAAAAAGTGGTTCGTATTCAAAATTTGTTTCAACTGAATTCGAAAAAAAAAAAATCGAAAAATAACGGGAAGCAGGGGACCAGTCATTAAAGCGAAATTTCCCCTTTTGGGTGGAGATCCTCTTTAAATTTGTTTTTGCATTATTTGTTCGATTTTGTTTTCACATTTGTTTTTGATTTTGTTTTCGAATTTGACTTTGTTTTCGATTTTGTTCTCAAATTCAGATTTGTTTTTGAATGGAATTTTGGTGAGTATGAACAGTAGTGAGTATGAAACAGTATGTAAAACAGCATTTATTGACTGTTTTTAATGATGTGGGTTTAAATTAAAAAAATTTAAAAAAATGATGGCATTAACTCAGCAGTTGTTTTTCTGAGTCAAGCTTCTAACATCTAATCACTTGTTGATCCTCCCAGTAGATCTGTTATTTTTCCACTTTCTGTAATTTGGTGACAATGCAGTTCTCTTCAATGTGGAATTATGCAGCAATGACCATTTAAATGGACTAGACAAAGGCTAACTCCAGCTAACACATTTTAAGCAGTTACAGCTAAAGTTGTTTTCTCTTTTAGGAAAAAAAAGAATATGAATAACATCTGACCATTTCAAGTACTCCAGGGAGTGTTATGTAGTTTTTATTGCAACCCCTATAATTGCCAGAAAGGGGGAAAATAACAGATCTACTGGCAAGATCAACAGAATATAAATCTATGTTAAAGGGGGAATCCGGAAAACAAAAGATGCGTTATACAGTATATGCCATTTTGTTAAGTCCGCAGTAGCACTTTATAGGCACTGCGGAGTTGTATGTCCCTGTTAAATATTATACAAACCTTGTATACTTGAACATTTCTTACTGGTAGCCAATATAAGGTTTTTTGGCATTAAAAAATTGGGTGCCATGCACTGTATACTGGAAAATTATTATAAGGTGTAGGTTATCCCAGGGTGTCACCTGATAAAAAAGAATTTCAACCTAGCCACATAAAAGGACTTTACTTTGTGAGAAGGAAGACATTGCTTACTTGGTAAATACATGCATGTGGTAAGATTTACAGATTTTACTTTTCTAAAGTGGCTGCAATTATTTTGAAGACGACCACATTGGGTTTAGCAGCATCTGTATTTCATATTCCGTTTGTACTCCACAGGTTACAGTACATATCATACAAATCTACTTACCATCTACAGTTCTACAATCTCCCAGAGGAGATCTTCAAAGCAACTATTAAATATATGTAAACTCTCTAAAATCTCAAATAAGCTTTAACATGTTAATGGAATTTTAAAAGTAATTTTCAACTTTTTTTTTAATCTTTTTAAATCTTTTTTTAAAATCTTTTTAAATCTTCTGCTTTTATAAAAATATTTCCTGGTAATGTAAGTCCTTGTTCAGGCACCTTCTGTTTGAGGGTGACAGCTATTTGTGCTTTTGCATTGCTCATAGTTAACAAAGAATCAGAAATCTCGGCACTGTTCTAAAGTAAAAGATTTGAATGATCCTTTTTAGTCATTTTTTTGTCAAAATGTTCGCTAAAATTCCATAGAAATGTAATTTTTAAAGTAAGTTTAAATCACTAAAATCCATTAAATTAATACTTGATAATCCTGACACGAAGGTTCGTCTGCAGGCATAAGAGTGACTACGGTGACAAAACTCTATCTCTCAATCATCCTTCTGTGTTGGCAGCCTTTCACTCAATGTCCTAATGGTGTCTACCAGTGGCCGTGGCAGTACATATTGTACAAGCACATTACACTGTTGTCACTATGTGGAAACCAGCCCTGAGAAATGACATGCAGCAGTTCCTAGAGTGCATGCATATAGACAAGAAGTGGCTAGAAAAAAGCTGCATGAGGTCAACAGTGCTGAGATGCAACAAAGGATGACACAGGTTGAAAACAGTATTTTCTTTATTTTAAATGGCAGTTGTTTATGATTCACAAGGGCAGGGGCGGACTGACAACTCATAGGGCCCCGGGCAATAGGGGATCATGGGGCCCCTGTGTCCTTGCGCAAACTCAAAAAAGCCTATGAAAAAGGTACCAGGGGCATCTCATGGGGCCCCTGGCCCTCGGGCAGTGCCCGAGTTTCCAAATGGTCAATCCGCCCCTGCACAAGGGTGGATTTACTAAAAACTGGAGCACTCAGAATGTGGTGCAGCTGTGCATGGCAGCCAATCAACTTCTAGCTTCAGGTTGTTCAGTTAAGCTTTGGCAATAAAACCTGGAAGCTGGTTTTGCTGGTTTTGCACTCTCCAGTTTTCAGTAAATAACTCCCACAGGGTTTAGGAACATAAATGTCATTCAATTAGGGCTTACATTTTCTTCAAAGTATATGTAAACCCTCACCTTGTAAAACGACCCATTCAGTTTAAAATAGAAATGAAAGGTAAAACATTTATATATGATTAAAAACATAAACACCTTTTCCCCCCTTTTTTTTTTAATAGGTGATCACATACCCTCTGCTGTCAGCTGCATAAGGAGTTCAGAGAGCTGATGGAGGATGATCTTCCCAGTGAATGGCTGTGCAAGAAAGGGGGGGTTGTCTAGAAAAGTCTGATGCCTAGTATGATCAGTTTTTAATATGAAAGCAGAGGGACTAGCAGGAACACGAGGGAATTCACACAAATGAAGCAATACAAAGAGAACAAGGATACTTTTTTTTATACAAGTACATGGCACAGCAGGCACATATCAGGAATATGAAATGTGGGTTTACATATTCCTTAACCGCCTCCCGCCTGCCATATAGTCCAATGACGGGCGCAAGGTGGTTCTCTCGTTCTGGGAGGACGTCATATGACTTCCTCCGATTCTCACCACGCATGCGCGGACACAGCGTGTCCCTCGGACACAGCGGATCACCGATCCACAGAAAGAGCCGAAGGTGTCTGCTCAGTCATGTGATCAGCTGTGTCCAATCACAGCTGATCGCATGTAAACAGGGAAATGCCGGTTATCGGCATTTCTCTCCTCACGAACTGTCACGCTGACAGCTCGAGAGGAAAGGAGAGCTGGTAATCGGCATTCCTCGGAGGGGACATGTACACAGATCATCAGCGCACTGATGATCAGTGTGCTCTGATGATCTGTGTAGCCCCAGCAGTGCCACCTGTCAGTGTCCATCAGTGCCAGCTGTCAGTGCTCATCCATGCCACCTGCCAGTGCCCATCAGTGCCACATCAATGCCACATATCAGTGCCTACCAGTGCCACCTATCAGTGCTGCCAATCACTGCCACCTATCAGTGCCAGTCAGTGCCACCTATCAGTGCCCGTCAGAGCTGCCTATCAGTGCCGCCTAAGAGTGCCAGTCAGTGCCACCTAACAGTGCCAGTCAGTGTCACATATCAGTGAAAGTCAGTGCCGCCTATCAGTGCCACCTATCAGTGCTGCCTTTCAGTGCCCATCAGTGCCACCTACCAGTGTCTCTTCATCAGTGCCCATCAGTGCCACATATCAGTGTCCATCAGTGCAGCCTATCAGTGCCCATCACTGCAGCCTCATTAGCGCACATCAGTGAAGGATAAAAATCACTTATTTACAAAATTTTATAACAAAAACTAAGAAAAAATGTTTTTGTTTTCAAAATTTTCAGTGGTTTTTGGTTTGTTTAAAAAAAAATAAAAATCCCAGAGGTGATTAAATACCACCAAAATAAAGCTCTATCTGTCACAAAAAATTATAAAAATTTCATATGGGTACAGTGTTGCATGACCGCGCAATTGTCATTCAAAGTGTGACAGCGCTGAAAGCTGGAAATTGGCCTGGGCAGGAAGGGGGTATAAGTGCCCTGTAGGCTAGTGGTTAAGGCTAGGTTCACACTGTTGCAGGATGTGTAAATCGAACCCGCAACTGCCTGCAGCCAAAATTGCTGCTCTTTTGCAGACACACAGGACAGCCATTCATTCTTAATGGGACCCCTGCATATCTGAAAATGCAGTGTGTTTTCGGGTGCAGGACATCGCATAATACAAAATCACTGTGCGATTTCTTTGCAGGTGCATTTAAAAAAAAAAAGGTGCAGAGACCTTTTTCCTGTGTGTCCACAGGTGCAGCAGCCCATTCAAATGAATGGACTGCTGTGCCCGCATAAACACAAGCCACAGCAAATTTATAGGCGTGAATCTAACATAATGCTGACAATGCCTATATTTGTATAAACAAACAATATTTAGTTAATGGGAAAACTTCCCCATACCTGCACAAAGACTGAGATATGTTGTCATGGGATGCATTTTATGTTGCTTGTTAACTGTCATATTATGCACAAACCAGGGAGTAACATTCCAGTTGATTACTTTCTATGTAGGCTTCCTGGACTAGAAACAAGTGGTGTGCTACAAAATGTTGCTCCTAATCATACCAACTTCAATAAAAAAAAATTATCTGTCCTAGTCAACTCATGAAACTGTTACAAAATCACCCATGATTGTTATTTTACCCCCTCTGACATAAACTAATTTAGGAAAATAGTATTTTGTATCAGATACTCACCATTTACATAACAATAATAAATACCATAGTGTAACATTTAATTGGAAAGACATTATAGTCTTTGAAGGCATAACATAAATAACATATTATTATATAATGTGAGTAATCAATTGTTTGCTTAAAGTGGTTGTAAAGACTCAAATTTTTTACCTTGATGCACTCTATGCATGGAGGTAAAACACCTTCTATGTGCAGCAAACTAGAGATCCAGCGATGTGCACAAGAGCCTTGGCTTTCTGGAAACTCTCCCTCCTCATTGGCTGAGACAGCAGCAAGAATCATTGGCTCCGACTGCTGTCAATCACAGCCAGTGAGCCAATGCGGAGACAGAGGGGGCAGGGCCCGAGCTGCGGCTCTGTGCGTGAATGGACACACAGAATAGTGGCTCAGGATCGAGCCTGCTTGGGTGCCTCCATAGCAAGTTGCTTGCTCTGGGGGCACTTGGCAGGAGGGAGGGGCCAGGAGCCGAGAAGAGGGGGATCGGGGCTGCTCTGTGCAAAACCACTGACATGTATGACATGTTTGTTATTTTTTAAAATGCCTTTAATATCACTTTAAAAAAAATATAGGAACGTGGTCATGCTCAGCTACATAAATAACTACTAATCATTTGAAAAATATGTACTCTTATTTAAACCAAGTACTTCAGTGCTCATAGCACTTTTTATCTTGGGTTCTGACTTCCTAAGAGCTAATAGCACCCCTGTCTTCTGTTTTGTTATATACAGTGGCAACCAGGGGCGAACTGGCAACTCATGGGGCCCCCCGGGCAATAGGGGATCATGGGGCCCCTGTGTCCTTACTCACACTCAAAACACACTAAAAAAAGCCTATAAAAGGTACTAGGGGCATTTCATGGGGCCCCCTACTGACCCCGGGCCCTCGGGCAGTGCCGAGTGCTCGAATGGTCAGTCCGCCCCTGGTGGCAACACTTGATATACTCAGCCTCTGATGCAAATTTTGATCCAGGGCCCCTGAGCTTTATTTCAGTACCCATTCCTTCAGAAATAACAATCCCACCCTCTATGACCCTCCGTGCAGCTAATCTGCCCATTTAGCTAGGACTGGGAGGCAACCGCAACCAACAAGTCATTTCATGGTAGTGACAATTTCTTGTGGGCTAAAGAAAGTTTGCACACACATGTCTGCTGCAGTGATTTGTGGCCATGAAGAAAACAAAAACGTGTTTTCATAAAGATCATGGTTTGTTGTAACATAAATTTACACACACAGATTTTTAGCATTTTTTTCACACAAATAGAGCTTTCTTTTGGTGGTGTATAATCGCTGCTGGGTGGTTTTTTTGTGCTACAAACAAAAACAGAGCAAAAAAAAAAAGTTTTTCTTTGTTTCTATTATAAAATTTTTGCAAACAGTTAATTTTTCTCCTTCAATGGTGTGCGTTGATGAGGCTGCACTGATAAGCAGCACTAACAGGCACTGATGAGGTGGCACAGATAGGCAGCACTGATGGGCTCTGATAGGAGGCACTGATGAGCTGGCACTGATAATGCTACACTGATAGGCGGCACTGATGGGCAGCACTGATGGGCAGCACTGATGGGTGGCATTGCTGGGCAGCACTGATCGGTGGCACTACTGGGAACAGGTGGGTGGCAATGACAGGCACAGCTGAGTGCCACTGCATGGCCCAGGTGGGTGGCACTGATGGGTGGCACTGCTAGGCACAGGTGGGTGGCACTGCAGGGCACAGGTGGGTGGCACTGATGAGCACAGGTGGGTGGCACTTCAGGGCACACGTGGGTGGCACTGATGGGTACAGGTGGGCAGCACTGATAGGTACAGGTGGGTGGCACTGCTGGGCACAGGTGGGTGGCACAGGTGGGCAGCACTGCTGGGCACTGATCATCAGTGCCCTGATGGTCAGTGCCGATCACTTCTCTGACAATTGCCAGTTATCGGCAGTACTTTCCTCACGCTGTGACAGCATGATAAAAGTGCAGTCAATAACCAGCAACTGTATTTACCCAGTGGTCATTGGACACAGCTGATCACGTGGTAAAAGGCCGCCGTGATTGTCCGTTTACCGTCATAGCAGTGGATTGTTATCTTGTGCACCAAAGGTTGTGTGCTTACATACTGTGGTGGTAGACATCCAGCTCCAAGTGTGATCTTATGATTCTTATGTAAGGGACTCTGAGCTTGACTCATTTTTTGCACAGGATCATATTGTGATTTTCATATGATGCAAATGTATTTTCATATGCAGATGAACTGTGTGTGAATATGAGTAACAACACATACACATTTTCCATTCATTTTAAAACAACAATACAACAGTGTAAAATGAGTAAAGAGAGACTTGTGGACGTACAGTATGTAGCCACTCTGCAGTAAGCAGGAGTGACACTTTACATTTAGCTCTGCTATAGACTGTAATCAGCCTAAGCTGGATCGATAGTTTAGTAATCATTTAGTCTCCCCTAAGACCAATGTTATTGTTTGCTTCTGCCTGCTGCTGGGATGTATTTCTGATGAAGGTGCAGAAAGATTGAGTAGGGCTGGGTTATGAATATTTATATCCCCTTGACCGACCACTAGCAGGTTAATTTTCAATGGTACAGGCTGAGAGAGGATATCAATATTTGGGTGTGACCTGTTAAAGTTCTTTATGCCTGAACTCTTGCCAGGGGGAGGACTGGAAGATTTGTGTTCCTATGTCTGTTGCCTAGACAGGGCACCTATGTGTGCATGAAATAAGGCTTGCACTGCCTTTCTGAAAGTGGTTTACCAGAAGGAGCTGAGCAAATCCTGGGAACTAGGGAAGAACTTCAGCTGGAAGTGCCTGAGAAGCTGGAATTTCTCTTGGACCTCAAAAGGAAGTCTGATGTCCCACCCTAGGACATCAGCTCTACAGTTGGGTGCTCAAGAATCTTAGGATGCTGGTCTGGCTTAAATTTCCTTTTACCAGTGAAGACTGTTTGATTTTCCTGGAGTTTGCTATGTACTCTAACCTTTTCTCCCTGAGTTTATGGTGAAAAATTTAACTCTGAAGTGACTGGGGTCCATCTGTCCAAAACCCCACTGTAAACCAAGGTGAGGTGAATGTCAGCCCATCTAACCTCTAGGTGGCCCCTTCTAGTGTGCGGTATCAAACTTCATTACATTGCAGGCCACATCAGTATTATGGTTTGTATTGTATCTGTAAGACTATATAAATGTACCTACTCTTTATCATATTATATAATTGCCATTTGATTATTACTGGACTTAGTAATAAGACTTAAATTGATACTTAATTCTTATTCTTAACAGCTTTACCTCTACCCTACAGCAGTTTTACTGCTACAGGGCGGCTCTCCTGTGCAAAATCATGTATGTATACGTGATTTTGCACTTCCGCCTCACAGGTGCGCACACTTGCTGCCGGAGGACCGCTTCTGCTGTGAATTGTCACACTAGAAGCCGATCTGCAGGCTCCGGCGAACGGATCTTCACCAGCACCCACTGTGCCTTTGTTTACAGACCAGACCAGTAGGTACAAAATATCACAGAAGCACTGACAGACAATGCATATATAAAAATATTGTTTGATATAATATACTGTATAAGTCACACAGGAGCTGGATAAAAAAAAATTGTGATTTTTTTTTTTATTCTGCCCCTGAGATTAATTTTGCACAGAATACATGTTTCACTCCAGACAAACAAACCATTAATGAAGCTTTTAACAGTCATGAAGGGCATGGTCTACCTGCAAGTTGTCTCTATTTTTCAGCCCAGCATACATTTATTGTAGTAGTTACCCTGCTTTGAGAATATCTGATTTTTGGTAGCATAGATTGATGGTATTACCTGCTGCAGAGCTTGTGGTTATACAGAGTATGTCCCAAAGTTCCAGGTATTACTGAAAACATATAGGAGCCATACAGTAAATTTAACCCCTTTGCACAGGTG